AGAAGGGAGAGTGTTGACATGTCGTGGGGTTGTTAACCAATGTCATAAAACAATATGTGTACTGACTTTAATGAGAAACAATTTGTTCTGTAAACCTTCATCTTAAGTACAATAAAAAAAAAAAAGTAGACAATACCATAAACAAGTTGCTTCGCTACATTTGAAAACCACCCAATACTAAAAACTAGTATTTCTTCCCTCTTCTTAAACTATTATTCTAATTCAGTGAACACAGCCCTTATAAGCCATTAGAGTTAAAATTCATGTCTATAAACTGAAAACCAGTTGTTAGATTTTTTTAAAAAAACTGCTAAAATCATATATAGCAAAACCTGTTAGAGAAGGACAGTCATTCCTCGTGAATTTAAAACATGCTTGTACAAAACTTGGAAACCAAAGTATAAAAAAAAATAAAACCAATGGTAATCCTTACTATTCTGTTTTTTATTAACATTTTCTTATATCATCAAATATTCAAAAAGATTACATTTTAATAGCTGCAGTGTTTTATGACATAGCAACACTATAATTTAAGCAATCATTTCCCTATTGGGCATTTAAGCTAGTTCCATCTTTTTACAATTAAAAATAACACCACAGTGAACATCCTTAAAAATAAATGTATCTTTAATAATTTCTTTATGACATTAAAAAAGAAAAAAAAAAAACCACAAAAAACCAAAAGGATGGCAGTTGGAATCCACCAACTGCTCCTTGGAAACTCTCCTGGGCAGTTCTACTCTGTCCTATAGGGTCACTATGAGTTGGAATCGACTCAATGGCAACGGGTTTGGTTTTGGGTTTTTTTAATGACATAAAGGCAAAGTGTGATCATTTTCAACTTTTATCAAATGAGAAAAGTTAAATCATTTTACATCTCATCAGAGTTATGTGATAATTCCTGCAAACCAAGTCTTTCTATAAACGCAAAGTAAGGTTTGGGTGTTTACTAAAATATAATTTGTAACTTAATTTTGTATAATTCACTTCCTAATAGTAAAACTCAACAAGTTCTATACATATCTTCCCAAAATACTTCAATTTGTACCCCGCCCCCAAGATTTCATGCAGTAGATAGGTCTCCCATCTCAGCTTCTCTTGCAACCTTCCCCTACTCCCATGCTACTCCTCTCCTTCCACGACACACCCAAATGACCTTCTATGTGCCCCTTTTCCATTGTGAACCAACTCTGACAGTTCTCTCTGGCTTAAGAACCAGTTCTAAGGAAATATGCAAACATGTACTCAAAGGGGAGGCCATTTTCATAATTATTTCAAATAATTCATTTTTATTTCATGCAATTTGGTTTGTGGAATACAACCACACTTACAGCTTATATAATTTTCTTGACTTTACCATTTAGAAATCATTATTCTTTCATCTAACTATTGCTGCTTAAGGGGAGGGAGAATTACAAAGGATGCTATGGGCTAAAAGCAAAGGACCATCATAAAAACACTTTACGGTGCCTTCCATATTTTTTCAGAGCCATTAAGTTAAATTAAATCTAACTTAAACCCTGAGACATTGAGGATGATGGAGGAAAACCACTGGCTCTATACTAACATTTTCTATCCATTTAAAAGTAAATGGTATAAAAGCAGCATAAAAATCACCAAAAATACTCCTAGTGTTATACAGGTAGAGTAAAAGATAAGAGAACAGGAGTACACACAACACCCCTAAGTCATCCTATTTTTCTTCCCTCAGAAAAGAAGAACATCCTCAAGAATCAACCAAAGCAGTACTAGTTGCATGCTTTTCTAAAGTGACTAGAGAAACCCCAGTCACCAAATCCAAGCTTCTCCCTCACCTCTCATCCTTCTAGACCTTAGTGCTGACATTCAAAGGGAGCTGGACACTGCCTGCATTTGACATTTTTACACAGAAACTATTTCCATTTGACCCCTTTAACAATGATTTATCTGGCTACTTCTGACTTCTTTGGCTTTTCTTCCTCTTAATTCATGGGCATGTCACAAAAATCTTCTCCCTGCTCTATTCCCATGACCATCAAATTTCCAGGACCCCAATTTTTTTTTAAGATAAATTTTTAGTTCCTCCTCTGTAACCATTTTACTTTTTAAAAATATTTTTATGTTCTTAAAAAAAAAATAAAAAACCAAATACCTTTACTATTGCAATGTATCAACCTATCATTCATTTTTCTGGGTCCCAATTACTGTTTATAGTTTTTCAGGGTACAGCGCTACCATAGGTTGATACATTGCAATGGTAAGGTATTTATTTATATGGCAGATAGCAGTTACAGCAGTTTTTAGTATCATGGGCTCTGGAGCCAAAACATCTGAATTCAGACCTCAGCTCCATTACTGGCTACGTGATCTGGAACAGACTGTTGTGTCCTCACCTGTTTCACCTGTAAAATGAGGATAGTAACAGTACACACCCTCACCTTGTAGTTATGAAGATTACATGAAGTAAGTAAACGTAAAGAACTGGGAACAGTTTGTGGTGCGTATTAAGAACTTGACATAAGTTACTATAATTGTTTCAGTGACAATTGTTACAAAGTATGGTAAAATGGTTATAAATGTAACTAATATACTGATGTTTTTAGTTTCGTTTTTATTTTTAATTGAAGACATAATTCACGTTCACTCTCTAACTCATAAATTCACTGTAAAAGTCACCTTTTTAAAATATACATTCCAGTGGTTTTTAGTATATTCACAACAATGTGCAACCATCAGTACTATCTAATTCCAAAAACATTTCATCAACACAAAAAGAAACCCTGACTCCGTTAGCAGTCACTTCCCACTCCCCTCTTTCCAACTCCTCTCCACCTCCCTGACAACCACTAATCTACCTTCTTTCTCTGGGGATTTGCCCATTTTGAACATCTCACATGAACAGAACCACAATATGTGGCCTCCTGATTCTGGTTTCTTTCACTTACCGTAATGTTTTCAAGACTCATCCAAGTTGTAGCATGTATCAGTATTTCACTCCTTTTTATAGCTGAAGAATATTCCATTCTATGGATATACCCCATTTTGTTTATTCATTCATCAGTTGATGGACACTGGGTGGTCTTCACTTTTTTGCTATTATGAATAATGCTGCTATGCACAAGTTTTTGTGTGAACATATATTTTCAGTTCTCTTGGAGAAAATAATTAGGAGTGGAATTGCTGGATAACTTTTTGAAGAGCTGCCAAACTGTTTGCCAAAGCTACTATCTTTTTAAAGATGAATTTCTATTTGATTAAGTAGGCCTTATCTCTGCGCTCCTGCTGTTCAACAACATTACTATTATGGAATTGTAATATAGGCAGTCACCACGTTACGTACGAGACCCATTCCTAAGTCTGTCTTTAAGTCAAATTTGTAGGTAACTCCCAACAGGTACACATAGTTCTTGTTTAGTGTCAAAGGTTTGTCTTAGTATATAGTATATACTTTACCTTTCTGTGCATAGGAAACACTTCAACACTTCTAAACCGTGCAATGTTTTCATGTGCATAACCAAGTAGTGAGTGTGTTATTATAAACCACCGTATTCAACTCAAATTTTAATATAATAGCCTTTATGGCAGTCCATTCTTAAGTACCAGTTGTCAGGAAGTCGGACATTCGTAACCCGGGGACTGCTTGTATTTTACTAAGATGTTGGTTTCAGATCACAATTTCTCTCTGATTAATTCAACAAAAAAGCCTATCTCCATTAAAGAAAATGAGTTAATCTATCACTAAACATCTTATTCAGAAGATTTGTTTTGAAACCTGTAGAAAAAAATAAAGGTTTTCTAAAGAAAACAGACAGTCTATTTGTATACTATACAAAATAGGACTTTCAAGTTTGTCAAAATGTTCACTTTGAGAATGCTCAATCTCTTGTGGTGATGAACCTGAATTTGAATAACGTGTGATATAAAAGGAGCCGAAGATTTTCATGATATAAGTGCCTATTCCCAAAAATAAAAGAAAATGGCTGACAAATATTACACCTAGCCTAATTTCTACAATAACAAAACAAAGACTCAAGAAAAAGTTGGTAACAAAGCACTTAATATAAAAATGCCTGAACCTCCTTATTAATATCAAAAGCAAGACAAAGACAATTATTTTTACTTTTTCATGTGTAATACTGGTCAAACAAAAATGTCTTTTCAATGAAAAGAATCTACACGTAACACCTCTTAGAGATTTTAAAAGCCAAAGCACTCACCTATGTAGACTCTTCTGCTGTATCTCTGCATCAGTAACAACACAAATACATGCAGTGGGATCAGGTTGATGATAAACACATAACCACCCCAAGCAGAGACCTATGAGGAAAGAAATGCTAAGTTAAATAGTTTGTATTTTTACCTTTTAAAATAAATAAACTTTACTTGTCATGACAATGTAAACATGTAACAAGCAAATACAAAACACTAAGATTTTTAGCAATTTTGAGTAATGCTTAAATACAAACTGTATAAAATCTCCTAACAGCCTATTCTAATTTTTACTGACAATTAACTAAGAAACAGCATGATCCCACAAATCCAATGTTTTTCTACATAGACTGGCAAAATTTTTCAAATTAGATTAAACAAGAAAGTTGAAAATATTACTCATTTGTGAATTGGCAAGCAAAAAGACTGTCACGTAGAAAAAGAGTTTATGATATAGATCATAAAATCTTTTAAAGAAAAAACGGTTCTTAATTTCACCCATTTTTTATGATAAATATGTTGCAAGAAATTTCACTGAGAGTAAGAACAATGTTAGCACCCATCAACAGCTCAACCAAAAGAAATATTCAGATGATCAGGATATGCTTTAAAGTCCTCAAAATAAAAAGTGTTACTCAAGTATAAATTGTTTCCTACAAATATATAACAAAGCAAGATCCAATTTTAATGTTTAGTCTATACCACAAAGTTAGAATATGCTATCTAATCAGAATAATTTAGGATGTTCTGGTCTAACTTAATAAAAGATTATAAGAGAATGTTCATTTTTATCCAATAGAATTTATTAATGTTTTCAGTGTATTTAACAACAGGCAATAAGGTCTTATCAAGAACAAAGTTCTTGGATGTGCTCTGGTAATTAAAAGTTTGAAAGAACCATTTGCGCCAATAATCACCTTAGCATCCCATACCCCTTCTTTATTTACGTGCCTGCTACTGGAATAGATCCACTGTGGGTGGATGACTGGATGCCTTGCATCTTTCTTGCCTTAATGCTTTGAAGGTTTTTAATTCATCCAAAATTTAAATTTAAATCCTAAAGATTTTAGGAGAAAGGAAGTAGAGAACAAGCCCTGGATGAGAAAGAAGAGGAACTGGTCCAAATTCCAAAGATCTGTTAGACTTCATGTAGTTTCAAACACGGAATCTTACCATATAGAAATATGATAGGCAGCAGCACACTGTCCAAAAAACTGACCCAGTTTTTACAGATTTTACCTAAAAACAAAAATAAATAAAGCAACTGATATAAATGTTTATAAATGCTCCTGCTGAATTTTTAAAAAAAAGAAAAAGTTAAATGTTTAGTAAACTTGAGCTATAAAAAGCCAAGGTTATAAAAAAACAGCACTCAAATGTTACTTAAATTTACTTATATACGTATATAACACAGCTCAGGAGTCAGGCATTTTTTATTCTTTTTTTGTTATGTAGTTTTCGTAAAAAGAACCATCTCAATAGCAACAATTTACATTTTTTTATTAGATCTTCTATCTTAAAATGATTATTATCAACAAAATGAAACCTTAACGAAAGAATTTCCAGGATATACACTGACTTGCTAAAGTTACCAGAAACGATTTTTTAAAATATATTTTAACTGCCTTAAGAAAGGCTCATCCTTTAGAGGCTCCTATGGATGAAACCTTTGTAGAAAGCAAATAAACATCCCATTATATACCTGTTCAGTAAATCTACATTTGCATATGGTTGGTCAGACATAGCACCTTAATCTATATTTTTTCCATTTGAATATATGATCATATACAACTTATGTGTAATTCAAACTTGAGCATTCATTGTTGAAAACTTTTCTTCATTACATTCAGAAATTTGCAGATACTATTATAGCTTCAAGAGATCTATATTCCTAAAACAATTTCTAAAGTCTGATGATATGTAAGTAAAATTCTGAATTTACTCTGAACTACAGACAACTGAAATCAATGAAAGCAAAAAAAAAAAAAAAAAAAAAAAAAAAAAAACAAAAAAAACAAAAAAACCAAACCCGTTGCCGTCGAGTTGATTCCAACTCATAGTGACCCTATAGGACAGAACAGAACCGTGCCATAGGGTTTCCAAGGAGTGGCTGGTGGATTCAAAGTGCCGACCTTTTGGTTAGTAGCTGAGCTCTTAACCGTGCCACCAGGGCCCCTAATTTCCAAATAAAAGCTTATATACTCATCTGTAAAAAGCAAAATATATTAGCACCATCAGAAAACGGAACTTTAAATTTCAAAAACACAAATTCTAAAAACTTATGTCAGTAGAAAGGATCACCTTTAAGATGAATCAAGCGAGTGTCTGAAATAAGAGACATAAATCCTATAATATAATCAATTCTATATTAAAAGATCTTTATGTCCTGATAGGCAAGTTTAAATTTAACAGTGTCTCACAGAGCTGATTTCAAGAAATTCTTTACTTTTAAAATGGGACTCTACTAGAATAATACCATTAAAACAAACGGCCAGGTGGTATCCAAATTCTTGGGGGGAGAAAGAATTGTCAAAACGAATACAACTGAAGGGAGGGAGACAGGGAAGAAAGGAAAGAAAAACCAATCCTGGTTCATAACGCTTAACAGACTAGTGAAAATCTATTTTGAATTCAACATCATAGTACATATATAACAAAATATACCCTCCCCTCCGGAAAAAAAAAAAAAAAGGAAACCCTGATTTTAAGAAGGGCTAGGGGCTTCCTTTGACGGGGTGAAATAACAAGGTAGGGGTGAATACGGAAGGGGATATATTAAAATGTTGCAAAACTTTAAAAGTGAAAAAATTTCCCAGGGCAGATTAGAGATTATTCCTATTATACCTGATCTCCAGAAATTGCAGAAGGGAGCTAGAACCAAGTGGCATTGCCAAAACTGTATCCAAAGGACAGAGAGACGGAAAGATCATTTTTAGGAAGTGGGGCATGAACTAGGGAAATGGAAAGACTGTTCCAAAAGGCTGGAAGAAACAGTATTCTCAGACGATGAGATGGGCCAGAAGCCGATAGGAATCCCAAGGACAGGGACAAGCAAGGCTACAGGTCCAACGAATGACAAAGGGGGAGGGAGATCAATAGAACAAATAAGAAAGAAATAGTTCAACCTAGAGCTAGAGAGAAGAAAGGAGGAGGCTATTCAGCAGGCTGGAGCTAAAGAAAAATGTCAGGGAAAGCTTGAAACTGTCATGGAAAGCTTAAAACTGACCATTCAGTCTTTCATTATCTGTGTGTTGTCATCAATTTTTTGTCTATCAGTTCTGAGCGCACCCTTCAGTTTATGTTTAGAATAATACCTTTAGGCATTTCTCCTTTAAAGTGAGCATGTAGTTAAGCTTTTTCAGTAGAGGGCGCTGGAGGAACACCGCAGGAGAGGAGACTGCCCTGCCTTTCCAGGTGCAGGATAGGGGTCGGCAGTGTGGGTTTGAGGACCATCTAGTGGAGCCCACGCCAGCCACTGGCCCAGAGCACAGTCTCTGTGGCCTTGCAGCTTTGATCTGTTGATTATCTTTCTGCAGCCCTCCTGACACGGTGATCACAGCTTCCACACACACTCGGAAGGCCAGACTTCCACTGCACACCCATGCCACAGATTGCCGATGGCCAGCCTCCCCAAGCAGCTCCAGACCAGCTCTGGCCTGGCAGAACAAGTGAACTCTGCCATCAGGGGGCTGAACCACACCTTCTCCATTGAGGTCTGAACCCCTTTCAAGTCTGTCCTTCCTTGGGTACTCAGCCCTTGGATACTATGCAGAGTTTCCTTATATCTTATAGTTACTCTTTTATCATAACTAATTTTTTATATATAAAACATCTATTTAACCCACTGTGTCATTTCCATCTCCTGACTGGACCCTGACTGCTACAGTCTATTACAAAAATCAAGATAAATTTTATCTTTTTAGGGTATAAACTAAATACAGTTTATACCCTAAAATTCTCTCAGACTTTAAAACCAATTGTATGGACTGAGACAGAATGAGAAAAGGATACATGCTGTAAGTCAAACATATTCCTCAGTATTTACTAATGTACAGAAAGCTTTGCTAGGCTATGTTAGACACACACAATCACATACACTCAATCCTACCCCAACTGGAGAGAGAAGACTCAAAGGCAAGAACTGGAGTCCAGGCACAACACGACACGGGCCATACAGCAATTACAGACAGTGTCAGAAGGTCCTTTTAGACCCCAAATGCTGAAAGAGCTCACAGGCAAGAAAACAATTACGGCTGGATTATTAAAATTACAAGAAACTTCAGTCAGCTGGTGGCATTTCAGCAGAACTTTGAAAGCAATGAGACAGGAAAGATGCAAGGTGTCCAATCATCCACCCACAGTGAATCTATTCCCCAGTAGCAGGTATATAGATAAAGAAAGTAGGGGTGTGGAATTTAAAAATTGTGAGCACCTACAAAGCTCATAACCTAGGGAGGTAGGTAAACAGAAAAGCAGCTAAGTAGGATACCATATTTCATAGAATCTGTGACTATCATTTGCAACACAAATCCTAATTTCAGAGATGCTACAATGTTAAAGGAAAACAAAACCAGAGACAGGTAGTATGGACTAAGGGCTATGACAACAGAAATGAGAGTAACGGAGTCTGTCTGAGAGAACGGTCGGGCTTTCACACAGGCAGGCCGTGAAGGGCGAGTACAAATGGGCAAGGCAAAGGCAGAGAACAGCAGCTTAACTGCTCAGAAGGAAACAGAGAGACACGTTAGGGGACGATGCCTGAAAAGCAAGCTGGGGCTTTCTAAGTCCTGCTCAAGATTTGTCTTCATTTATGGGGAACCGGGAGTCCAGAAGTGGAGGCCTGAAAGAGGAAAGCCGCATGATCAGTACGTGATTTTAAAAGAAAACTCAGATACGCATTTAAAGAATAGATGAGAAGAACATGCCACTGGTAGCAGAAGTCAGTCAGGAGGCTGGTATAATAGACTAGGTGAGTGTTGAGATCCAAATTTAGAGAAGCAGAAATGCAGATGGATAGGCTATGTTCAAGGGCCAAACCAACAGTTTTTGATGAGCTGCTGGATTTGGAGCATAATGGAGAAAAGATGAAGAGAATTACTAGTTTCCTGGCTTGAAACATCAACGTGAGAAAAAGGCCAAGAAACGGTGGGTATGAATGGGTGTTTTTTTAACTCAATCTTTGACATGTTGATATTAACATGCTTGAGCAAAGGCATGTAGCAACAACATGAGTTTGAAATTCATAAACACCCGCATTCAAAAGCTAGCTCTGTGTGATTAGGGAGTAAATTACCTAATCTTTCAGAACCTCTTGTATCTTAACCCATAAATATCTCCTCATAAAGTTCTACGAATTAAATAAGTAGCACTGCATCCTGTGGATGGTACCAGAAGACATTCTAACATTAGACCTCTTCTCCTTATCGTCAAGGCATTTTGAAGAAAATACTGAGCTGGAAGATGGAAAATTAGATTTGAATATGGGCGAAAGCAAAGAAAAATGCACGAGGGGAAAATCTTGGAGCCAACAAATAGCCAGCCCAGTTTGCCTGAAACAGACAACTTCGGCAGAAGAAAATAAAAAGATAAAAGACTAGATGAGTTTAAGTTGCAATTGGATTAAGCAGAAGTTAGAAAACCAAGCTAATAAGTTTACAATAGTGTTTCCCAAATCAAACTGTTTTACCATATTAAGTTTATTATCTAACTTCTCAGTCATAAGCCATTAAAATTCTACTTATTAAATTAATAACATAAATAAATAAACCTCCCTTTATTCACCTTCTAAAGCTGCTGAAATGGTATCGCTTATCCACAGGAAGATTTTTAAAAGACTGACAAAGAAATTTCTGCTTATGGGTGGTATGAAGTTTAGATACTTCTTAGTGGGAAGAAAAAAGCGGGAAAACACTGGATAAAATTGTCTAAAACCACCCTTTCAGAGCACTGGAAATTGACCAAACGCAGACAAACAAACTAAGAAGCATTTATTCTTGAAAAACTTCTACAGCTTCGGAGGAACAGCTGGAGTCAGCCTTCTTGCCTGGGGCTGCTCCCAAAGCATTCCCTTCTCCCCACACTCAGGATGGCTGACAAGTATGGTAGTTTAATCAGCCTGAGACTGGGCAAGGGAACTAGCAGCTCTGCTGCCTGAGGAGGCAGACGTGATGCAGGGCTGGAGGTATGGAGGTGGGGAGAGAGAGAGTGAAAACAAACAGCTTTTCCAGCTAAGACTGATA